TTTAATTTTAATATATATATTTTTTAATTTTAATATATATATTTTTTGATTTTAATATATATATTTTTTAATTTTAATATATATATTTTTTAATTTTAATATATATATTTTTTTATTTTAATTCAAACATAATTGCTAATTTTTTTCAGTCCGGGTCATTTTTGATCATTTGTTATGCTGAAGTTTTTTCAGTATTAAAAATGCTGTGTATTTAACACCGAGCTTTTATAATTCAAAAAGCCTCCATATACCGTGATAAACACATGACTGTAAAATAAAGTACTTTTTCTCGTATTTTAATATACAAGTAGCTCTTTATTATCACCTTCAAAACAGAATTCTTTTGATACAAGCATGCCAATACCACACATAATCCAATTTTCAAGACACTTGTTATAGGTTTCGCCTAATTTTTGGTGCGACATTCACTAGATTTTCGGACAATACTAGTAATAATGCGCTTGAGCTACATTGTCAAGCATCTCTTTTTCGACTTCTACTCTGCCTCGTTCTTGCAAAAGATTCAGGTCTTTTTGTACGACTCTATTGACACGCTTCATACCCAAAAAATTACCCAAATGTGTTAAATCGATCCATAAGAGAAGCTGAGATCTTCTACTATCTCTCTTATGTCAACATGTTGATTTTCAAGCTTTTTACCTTTTTCGATGCTATCGTCATTAACATAGGTGAATGCAGGACTCGCATTAGGCAAGTTTTTGATAACCTTACTATTTTCGCTGTAGCCTTATGCGATTCAAATACTTGCGTTTGTGATGAAGTCGACTACCCAAAACTCTTTTGCAACATTTTTTAACAATTCCTTAACCGTGATTCTATTGGAAACAAAAAATTGCAAGCAAACTCGTTGTTCAATTATTTTTCCATAGTAAAAATCGCCACACTCTTATAATATTTACTTGTAAGACCATAGCTTATATATTCGAAGCAAATGTCTCAATTTGGTAACACTTTTTCAAATTCTAAATCAACATTGCTAATGTCTATCCCAGCTAAGAAGACATTATATTTTATTCTTAGCCGGAAAGCTTTCTTTCCCAACGAAATACTGAGTTTGTTTTTGTTTTATCTAAGACCAAACAGTCCGGTCAATTGTCATGGAATTCGGTGAAAGCATAAATCTCTCTACTTAAACGTCATCTTCAGCTTATGCTCTACACTTTGTTGGTTTTGTCTTACCTTAACTATAAAGGTGAAACTTCCAGGTAATGCAGCCTACATAAACTTCACACATATTACTTAATTCGATTCTAACCTTTTTTCTGAACTTGCAAGAACTTGAGTTCTTGACAGTAGAAATTTTGCATACCGACGAAGCCTGTTGTCGTAATACTTTTTACATGCCAAACATATGGCAAAGCTAATTGGTTATGATTAGGTCCTAAGTAAACCATTTTTGAAAATGGGCTGAGTATGTTGGAGCTCTTCAACTGTGCGCTCTTTGATTATTTGCTATCACGATCTCATATTGTACACAAAAATAATTTTCAGCACTGAAACCGCATTTAATGATCCATTATAACTCTCAGCTGTAGTTATAACCCAACTTAAATTTTTAAAGCGTAAAGTTTAGAGGAGAGTTCTTACTTTTTCTGGTTCTAGAGGCTTTTTTGTGTTATCCTTGACCATTGGTGCTGACGTTTTTTTTACATGCGGGTTCTTCTTTTTTGAACATTGATAATAGAGGAAGTTTCTTTAAATTAGGCACATATGTCTTCTAGGGCCGCAATCAGGGTTGTGAATTTTTGTTATTAAAAAATTAAAATAAAATTTTTAATAAATATATATATATAATAAATATACATATATATATATATATTTGTAAATACATATATTATATATATAGATTAAAAATTAAAATTGAATTTTTATGTTTTAATCCCGATGTTGGGATTAAAATTGAAAATATTACCTTTTGAATTGTATGAATGATATGAAAAATTTTAATTCTAAACCAAATTCTTTTTTAAATTCTTAATTATGTGCTTCAGATAGAAATTTTTCGGTAGTTGGGATTAAAAATTAAAAATAAATATAATATTTAATCCGGTTTTTGAGATTAAACATGTATTTTTTGTTTTTGTTTTTTTAATCCGGTATGTGGAATTAAAGTTTTTTAAATTGAATGAAAATTTTAATTCACTTATTTTTTTAATGCATTAGTCGAAACTGTGGTCCCAATAGAACTAAAATTTAAATCCAATTTTCAAAAAATAAAATCGAAAACAATTCAAATATGTATTTTTATCGAAACGACCAAAACAGGATCTCGTGAGCTGGTTCAACTCCGCGTAAGCGTAATTGAAGGGGTACAAAACTCACAGTTTATGAAAGGTAAACTCAACCAACTTGCTGAAATAAAAGAACTTGTGGACCTAAAGTCAACTAAAAAGACCAAAAGGATTAATGTATTATTAATGCGTTTTCGGTAAAAGAAATCAAAATCGGTTGATAAGTCAAAAATTTAAGTTCCTTACTCTGAATTATTATTTTTTTTTATTTCAAAAAATTTCTTTTTCTGAGAGTTATAAAAATTATTTCTTTCCGCCTATTATCAAACTTTCCATAACTCGCAGACTAACCATTACCTCAGCGTCGTATTACACATTAACTTTTTGAACAACATCTCACCCCCAACCAGCAGAGATCATAGGTTCAATAAGCTATGCGAAACCCCCGTTGTTCATGTTAGTCGTTTGCCGCGATTAATGTTAATTTTTATTAGCCTCATGCACGGCTATTCCGCACAGCTTTACTTGCTGCGAGGGTGACTCACATTGAATGCCATTTCTTTCATTAAAATTCAAAGTTAGCAGCGGTGTGGTGAGCACAACAACAGCAAACAATATAAAACAATGAATGACATTGGAAAATAATAAAAAAAAATTCACAGAAAAATTATAATGGCAAAAATTGCTAAAAAAAAAAAAAAATACAGAAAGTTACGCCAAAACAAACCAGAGCTGTGCTTCACACCAACGTCCAGCATTTTCTGCCTCAGCTCAATACGGCTCAGCATTTATTAGTCTTGACTCGCCTGAATTTTTCAACTCACCCACATTCACCATTTCCTCTTCGACATTTTCGTTTGCCCCATCACATTTGCCGCGCTCATTATTTATTCGGCGCGCAGTTTCTATTAATTATCGTTACACAATTTTCGATTGGTAAATATCTTGAAATGAATGTTATCCTGTTGTTCAAATTTCCCTCAAACACTCGCCACGCTCTCCCTCTCACGTAGGTATACTTTTACTGCTTTATTTGTTTTTGTTACTTTTATTTCTTTTTTTGCTTCATTTTATATTTCAGCATTTTTATACAGTTTTCCATTCTTCTTCTGCCTCCCCTCATTCAATTCTATCGATATCTCGCTGTGCCTTGCCAATATCTCGCATTGTCCCATCGTCCGGCATTAATTCCTCGCATTTTTATTATTCGTAAAAATCCGCTCATCTGCACATTTTTATTAGCATTTAATTATGTTTGCTGCATTCGAATTGAACCCAGCGTGTTTTAATATATCTACGGTTGTTCTAAATATATGTACGACTATGTATCTATGTGTAAGTGTGTCTGTAATGTGCAGAAGTGAGACTGTAAAATAATTATTGGCGTTCTCGCTTGCTCGCCTTTACATTTGTTGTTGCACTTTGTGGGGGTATTGAAAATTTCCGATTTTATTTGATTACTTTTTTATTTTAATTACTCTTTATCTATTTTGATTAAGCGTTTTTCGAATTTATTGCTTGTGCGCTAATCCAATATTGTTCCAAATTTTCCCATTTCGTCCTCAATATTCTCAAATGATAATATTGTGTAAGTGTAATATTCTGTAGTTAGATATGTAAGGTTTTCAGAAAGCCAACTGTTTTCTTAGTTTTATTCGAGTATATTTTAAATACTTCGATTCATTTTGTATATTCCGAGATTAGTTATGGAATTAGTGGCCAGGTTGACAACCTTAAGCAAAAAGGCGAAAATTAAAACATCATATTAAGGAAAATCTATTTTATCATAGTTTCCATCGATAATTTTGCTTCGATTATACCGCTCTTCTAACTTTTCGGTACTAATTTTGTAGTTTGTTTGATCTGTTGTTTCAAAAATGTCCTTAGTCTAGGCTATTGTATTGCTGTCCAGCGCGTATTCTCTTGAGATCTCAGCACAACAAAATGTCGGGGGTGCCAGATCTGGAGAATATGGTGGATGCGTAAGCAACTCGTAGCGCAATGCAGTTTCTGCTTATCGCTTCCTTAACAAAATACATATAGGCATTCCTCTCGACTGTGTTTTTCGGTTGAATTTATGTAGAGTTTACTTCAAGAGACGTTGGATTCAAATTCTTTCATGTCGCTAAAAAATGTCAAACTATCGATTTTGAAGTTGAAAAATTCAATACATTTCCCTTTCTTCCTTTTTCTCTCTCACTCTCTTTTAATATCGCTCGCTTCCTCTGTTTTTCTCGTTACCAATAAAATCCTTCCAAATATTAGTTGCTGAATTAAAGGGGTGATCCTGCCTGGTTTTTTTTTAGAGATTGTTTAGGATTTTTTTTCTGAACAGTAAACAGATAAAGCTTTAATTTTATTATCTTTTATTAACAAAAATTTCGACAGTATAATAATAAATTTTAAGCTAAAAATATTGTGTAGAACATGAGTTATAGT